GTATCGTGGAAGGACGTGGACTGGCTGCCGTAGAGATACAATTGAGGCCGCTCGGCCCGGGTGCTCGTAGAAGGTCGCTGGGACGCCGAGGTGTTGCACTGGAAGCACACGCCAGTCAAAGCGCGGTCGCTGTCGGAAGCCGGTCAGTCGGACGTCCATAGTCGCCGCGAGGACGACACGTGGTCCGAACTTGACGAGCCATGGCGGGGCACTGGTTGGGCGCACGTCATGATCGGCAGGCGGGATGAGCCGGAAGCATTGAACGAGAGCGGTCGCAAGCAGCCGGATCCAACGGCGGGTTGAAATCCTCGTAACTGTTATTGGCAGACTACCCGGTAGGACAAATTGGATCAACAGAGAGACCGCAACGTTCGACTCGTTTTGAAGGACACGGTGTATACGAATAGAACTACAGCACGCCCTTCCCAATCGCCGTATTTCCGGGTGACCTTGCTTATCCCTTCTCGTTGACCTCCCATTTGTCTGACATTGATCGCGGCATGGGTGGCCGCCCACCTCAATGGTAGGTGTTGTAAAGACAGCGGACCAGGTCCGTAGACGACACATAATACCACTTCATTTGGAGGTCTTGGCGTGCACTGTATTGTCTTTGAGGCTACAACCACTCGTGTAGAATTGCTAAGCAGTCCGATCTGCATGCAGTTCTCTCGATATCTCGAGCGCCGGTTGAAAACCGAGCTTGCCAACTTCTGACTGACGGATACACCAGTGTGCATCTCATCGCATCTCGATGCACCGTCCATGCATGGTAGTGTCCCGCGTGCTCTGCGGCGTGACGTCTGGGCGATGCGTCGTCGTCGTGCCCAGAGCCAGCTTTGGTACCGCGTTAGTCACCCTCGGTCGTGATAGCATCCCACGTGTGAAATTCTTGCAGTATTTTATTTAATACATTGCCAACATATCAGGCTCGCTTTTACGATGGCCAGCGAGACAGGGGACTGAGGCACACGTGTGCGAGAGCATCTGAAGACCATTGTAGATGCCGATGCATCGTTGGTTCCTCCCAAGCCGGCGCCACC